TAGGTTTGATGTCAATTTGGCTTCTACCTGTTTTTATTGTACCATGCTTGGAATTTGAGTTAGCATTTTACGCACGCCGTTCCCTTTCGATTAGTCCCATACAAGTTGTATGTGCATGAGAAATTATTGACAGTAAACTGCCGGCATGCGTGAATATTAAGTTGGTCTGTAATTTACAATTAGTGCAGACGCCTTCTTTGATTTTGTAGTTTTTGTAGTGGAGAGTTAAATTCCGAATATAAGTCAACCCTGCACTGTTAAAATGACCTATAAGCGCAGTACAATATTAATAATATTTATATTAAACGTTAAGTGTGATGTAAAAATTTTCTTTCTCATTCTAGCTGGTTCAAAGAGGAAAACGAACAACTATTACCTCTGCAACTGAGCGAACGCATCACAATAGTTTCTGCCGGTTTGCTGAAAATTGCAAAGGTAATGCCAAATTTTACTATATAAATATTCATATATGCTTCCCTTCGATTTCTGGCGTGCGTTTTGACCTACAGTTTTACGCAAGCTCCGAACGGCAGTTGTATATTCATGAGAAGCTGTTTTTTAGGGCATAAATACACTCAGGCGGCTGCTGTGGTGTAGTGGTCAACAGTGCGTGCCACCATTCCGCAGGGATTGGGTACAAGCCCGGTTTCCGACCAATATAAAAATAAAATGAATGAAATATACCGAAAACGCGTTTTTGGTCATTTTTGAACCTCTGTAAAACAATAAATTTATGCAATATATCTGCTTGTGTGGGAGGATATGAAAGCCGAAACAGTACCCTTTAATACTCAAAATCAAAAATCTGTGGTTCGAGCACTGAAGGAACTGTTTTTACTTTAAGCCTCTTCAATGCCGTGAAGACTCGAGACATGTTCGACAAACCTATATAGGTGCCCAAAATTTGTCCTTTTTATCGCGAAACCAAAGTAAGCAAGGTATACTCTTTTAACAAATTCGGATATGTTTTGTTTTTATTTCTCAAGAGTATATTCAACAAAGTGTAGCAAAAGAAATCTGGATGGTAATGAC